TATATAGTTTTGAAATCATTTTGAAAATATATATAATATATAGTTTTTTTTTTAAAAAAAACATTTTTGGAAAATTATATAATATATAGTTTTAAAAAAAACATATTTTGGAATCTTATATAATATTCTTAAATCATTTTTGAAAACAATAGTTTTGGAAATTTTTTTTAGAATATAATATATAGTTTTAAAAAATATTTTTGAAATATATATATTATATAGTTTATATTATATTATTATTAGTATGTTATTATTATTATTATTTGCATTTCATTTCATTCATTTAATTTAATTTAATTTAATTGTTTTTTTTGGGTCCAGATCCAGTTCAACAGGTCTCAGTTCGGTTTGGATAGCCTGAACCAACCCAGTAAGCGTTAGGGTTTGGAACCCTAAAAAAGATGCCAGTCAATGCGCCGCATGGGGGAGTCAAGGGGACACACGTGGCCAACAGTCAATACCAAAACGGCCGGCCGGGATCCCGGGACTGACCCATCCCGGGATAGTCGGTCAACCACGAACCCATGACCCCGAAATATCCGGGAACGTCCCAGAAATCACCGGAAACAGCCTCCCAACGGGCTATATAAATACCAGAGGAGAACGGCCATCAAGGGGGAGGATACAAAACAGAACCCACAGATAGCATCATCAACAGATCGGGGAACCAAGAACTCATAACATCACAAAGACCATCAACACAAAAACCACCAAATACCAACAACCGAGAACCCACAAATACATTAAACAAATCGACCAACAACAAAGGTCGAACACAACCAAATACACAAAACCGAAGTACCAACCAAAGGCCTCGGAGAAGCTATCTGAAAACCAGAAGGCGTCGGTTTTAAGGTAAAAGACCCGAACTTAAGGCGTAGATCTACGCCGTTTGGGGTCCCTTTAGGGGAAACGGGCTTCGGATCGGGGTATAGAGTGACGAGGCGAGTGTTTCGGGCTAAGTGGTTTCTTTTTTGGCCACCGCCGGCGGTGGCCGGCACGGTGGTTGACGCGGCGGAAGGGTCATCGGGCAGGGGCCGAACAACCCCAGGCGAGAGAGCCTCAGAGAGATTTTTTCTCTCAAATTCTGAGAGCTGGAGTGAAATGGTGATAATGAATGAGAGATATCTGTTTTTGGGTATTTATATATCAGGGACTACCGTGTAATTACAGGATAGTTAAATCTTTTCCGCGATCCCTGTAAGTTTGAGTCGCAATCCATTTCAGTCACCATATGCAATTCGGCCACAGGATTTTCAATTGTTTCAATTCGGTCCCCGTTTAAATTTTACATTTTTGCAATTTGACCCCCTAAATTCTGACTTTTTTTATTATCATGCTTGTTAATTATTATTCTTTTATTTTCTTTCTTACTTCATATTGTTTCCATTTTATTACTTTTAAAATAATATTTTTCTTATTTATTTAATATTTATTTATTATTTATTTAATTTTAATTTAATTTCTTTGATTTATTGTTTTTTATATTATTTACTTTTATTATTATTATTATTATTATTATTTTGATTTATTTAATATTTTTTTTATCATCTAACATTTTCTTTAACATTTTCAGTGGTCCTTTAAATCGGTCAAAGGTAAACAATTCGAATCGAGTATTTAAATTCTAATTTAAATTTTTTATTTTCGTCATTAAAGACAATCGGTGAATTAATTGGTACCGAAAGGGCGGTTCAAGGGTGCTAATCCTTCCTTGACCGTAACCGACTCCCGAGCCCAACATATTTCTGGTACAACGCAGATCATGTAAGAAATAGGGTATCCGATCAACCCATTTGTTTTAAAATAAATGGTCGGTGGCGACTCCCAACCCAATCACTCAAGTCGAAGCCCAATTCCGGGCCCAACCGAAAGACGGTTGCGACATGAGGTATAGCCTTTTATTCTCTCTCCCCCGATCTGCTGCTGCTTGATGTAAGATATTTGATCTAATGCTTTGTTTTCTTTAAAAAAAAATCCAGTATCTACAGGAGGAAGGGGATGAGGCCTACCGTGGGACATATGACAGCGAAGATGATGGTGAAGACGAAAATGATGAATTAGTTCATTCAGAATCAAATTTCCCGTTCCATAACCAACATCAAGAGTCATGAACAGAGTTCCTTGGAACACTTGTATACACATAATCTTTCTGCATATCATGTATAGCAAGAATATTTAAGAATAATCAGGTTAACTAGTGCCCTGCTAATCTTCCAAAGCCACTGTTATTTAACAGATAAATATTTCTTCAAGGCTCAAAACTAATACTGTATTGTTGATCGATACCCGCCAACAAATAGCTAATCAACTATTATGGTTTCAGAACTGATATGGGAATGGATGAATCTACTTTTTCTATTCATTATGATTAAGAATTTAAGAAATTACTTTTTCTTCAAGCCACTTTTATTTTATTTATTTTTTTTATCTTTATTTTATTTTTGAGTCTGGTTGTTTTGTCAATTTGACCTTATCCCCCCCCCCAAAAAAAATTCTATGGAAAGAATGAAAATCGAGGAATAAGGAAAAATGATTTTTAAATAGGTTTTATTAAATATAGTATACTTGAGGTTTTTTTTAAAAAAATCTATGTTTTTTTTTAAATTCTTATTTATTTTATTTTACCTTTTTATATTATATTCTTATACTATTAATAATTTATATTATGTTTATACATATATAATCTTTACAAATTAATTTTTTTATACCTTTTCTTCTCACGTTTTATATGTGATATATACTTTATATTTTTATATTTATCATATCATGTGTATATATTTTCTACATATTTAATCTTACATATACCATTATTTACTCTTTTTTAGTTATTAGTATCATTATTATTATTTTTCTTTTCTTTCCGTATATACATTCTTTACATTTTTTACTTTTTAAAATTATTTTAATTGGTATATTTATTATTTTATTTTATTTGATAATTTTGGTATTTATATTTTTTACATTTAATTTTCATATCTTTTAAATTCATAATTTATATTTATGCTTTTTATTATTTATCTTTTTTTTATTAATGTTTTTAATTTTAATTCATTGCATTGTAACTATAGCATGTTTATTAAGTTGATCCTTTGATTTGTTCCCTTAATTTTTATAATTAATATTCCATGAAGTATGTTATTGATCTCATAATATCTTTATTAAAAGCGTGATTGCCTCACGTGCATAATTCGATGTCTTTCATAATTTGACTAAAAGATAATATTTAGTTATTTTAAATTATAAAAAATGATTGCCTTAACCTAACTTATAATTCGATTTTGATAATTTAAAATAAATAAATATCCTCCAATGAAATAAAATAAAATTACAACACATTAAAATTAATTAGGAGGATGGAAAAAGAGATGTTTGTCTGTTTAAACTTATCGATAGGATAGGTCGTTTGACCAACTTAATTGGTAGAGCGTAAGACTCTTAACCTTGTGGTCGTGGGATCGAGTCCCACGGTGGGCAATTCATAATTCTAACTGCCGAAGGTCTTTCACGGAAGCTGCTCTCAACCTGGCGTTGGGGACAACCTACTACCTTACCTCCTTACATATGAGAATAGGGTCAGCTAATTGTTGTTGCATGGTCTTAATATGAATAGAGACCAATGTTAAATCCTAAAGAAAATATTGATGTTTATTATTTCGTTTTGGGAATGAGAAAAACACCTCTTTACCTCATATTAGAGGGTATTTCTCTATGATTCGAAATGTTGAAATATTATCATTTTACCTTAGAAACCTTAAGTTCCTAAAAAAAATATTGGTCATTCACCGCTTTGGTTGGAAAGAGAGGGTGTCGTCCTACTTTATATAAGGAAGTTAACTCCCTCCAATCAAATGGAACGAATTGTTGACTTTTCTATCTAGAATTTTAGATGGTTAAATAACATTGTATTTATTTGATTAGAAAAAAGATCATCAATTAAATTAAATTCGTATTCTTAATTTCTCATTACAAAGACGACAATTAATCGACAAGACACCAATTTTAGAGTGTAAAAGTATTAATCATTTCTCACACATAACCAACTTCCAAACTCATCTTTTAATGCACTGACTTAAAATTTGTTTTAATAAATTTTAAATTAAATTTTATTAAAATAAAAATATTTTTGGGTGATCTAATCACACCCTAAACGAAGATTGATAGTAACTCCCTCAAACTATAATTTTTTAATTTGGAGTGGAAAACCAAAATTTAGTCAAAACAAACTCTAAAATTATTTTTTGATTTAATAGATTTAAATCTCTTAAGATAAGATTCCGGAAATTGAAAAGTGAACATCTTTTTCATGGCGGAACGACTTACAACAATAATGAAAACTTACTACATGGCTGACAAACTTCCACTGCATATAAACTCATAGTTACAGATAAAATCAAACGCAGTCAGTGAAGCCCTAAAATCAGATCAACCAGAGGCAATGAAGATTAAGACTGTAAATAAACTTGACAAAGTTCAGACTCAACTCGAATTCTTAAAAAAAACAAAACAAACTATTTGATATCCAATTCTAAAAGCTCAAGAATAACTTGAAAAAAATAATATATTAAAATTTTAAACTTTTTAAATTAAATTATTAATAATAGTAACGTTTACACGTTCTTTTCTGAGAGATACAAAATAAGACTTTCATACACTTCAGGTTCAAGCTCGAGCTCGAGTTTGAACTTCGAACGAGTTAAGTCTAAAATATTTCAAGTTCAATTTTTTTCAAACTCAAGTCGAGCTTCAAGTTTTGATTTCGAGGCGAGCTTGACAACTTTAAGCTCGTGAGTTTTTTAATAGAGTTGTTTACACTTTTCAAGTCGGATCAAATTCAACAATATTGGAGCTTAACTTGGCTCGTTTACAAGCCTAGTGAAGATTAATAAACGGTGTAACAAATTACCAAATCATCGACATCTTTAACTAGTAAATGAAACATTCAAAGCCTCTCCTCATAACACGAGCAAATGAAAGCCTCAGAATCTGATATATAACTCAAAGCATATAAAATTTTTCATCAATTAAAAATACCAAAGGTGCAGCAGGCAAAATGTCTCTTCAAAGTGAAGACCAGATCAAGTATTGAAGATGCAGAAATGGACTTCATTTCAGAGGAATGAACCTGGAAGAATGAGTAGCACCGATACCAGGTCTACCATGCTTAACTGGCTTGTACGAAATGGAAAACTCGGCAAGGTAATGGCTAATCATTTCAGGCTTGATTTCAACCTGGTTAAATGTCTTGCCATTGTACACACCAATAATGCTTCCAATCATTTCAGGTACAATGATCATGTTCCGCAGGTGGGTTCTGACTGGTTCTGGTTTCTCACCTGGTGGGGCCTCCCTTTTCTGATTCAATACATGAAAGCAAATATTAGGCAAGCATAATGCATAATTTAATTAGAATGTTCGACGTTCATGACATTCGATCAACAGTCGATTGTGTTCTTAATCAGGGTTGAGTAATCTTCTACAATATTAAAAAAAACATTTCCCATGACTTGAATCACCGTAAAGGAAGATGAATATGAACAAAACAGCAAAGAAAAGGGCATATGACAATCATGTATGCAGCATAGATTGATAGTTAGTGACCAGTAGAATAGAGATAGGAGTCAATACCTTATCAAACCAGAAATAGATTTGAAACATATAATCAAGTATAACAAGGATTAGAATATATTCAAGGTTTTTGGACATATGTGAACATAACCGACGCATCAGCATCTGCTTCACTAAAGGCAGTAAAAAGAACAATAACAATTTGCAACAATACTCTTCAGAGATAGAGACTCAATTTCAGCTTCTAGGATTCGCTATAAAATTCATTTCTAGAAGATAAAGCATAATGGAAAATTTTGAAACATGGGAAAAATAATTATAACATAATAAATACCAACATATATCCTTCTTTTAGATTGATATAAGAGTTTCAAGTAACTAGGGCTGAGCAAGGAAACCTAGAAAACTACAAAATCATTCCGAACCACACGGTTCAATTCGATTCGAGTTTTTATTTTGCGGTTTGGTTTAGAAATTTAATTTTACAATTCGGTTTGGTGTCAGTTTTTCTATAGGAAACAAATTTGTTCCAAATCAAACCGAATTAAAAAAGAAAAAAATAAATAATAATCCAAATCAAATCCATTTTGAATTTATTAAGAAAAACCTATATAAATAAAGTTCTAAAACTAATAATAATATTTTTTTAATTAAAACTTGTGTGCTTGCACTTAAGTTAAGCTCGAAGTTTGTCTCTTTTTTTTATGTTGAATTTGAAAAATAGTGAAATGTTAAAAGCCGCAAAATCAGACTGAAAGTTACGGTTTAAATTACCCAGTAACTCAACATCAACCTTAGATCTAATAACCACTAGATAAAATTGATAAGAACAAGAAATGAAAGCCCAAAGTCAAGGATTAAATTACCGCCTTGCGGAGTTTCTTAATTAAAGCCATTGGCTTTCTCTTGAGACCCCTTTGGAACCTAAAATCACATAAAACAATAACAAATAAAATAAAAGCGTTTCATATTAGTTTCAGTACAAAAAAGAAAAGATGCCTGCAGAAATGAATTTTTTTATCTTATTACCTTCTACGAGCACGAGCAGGGAAGAGCTTGACAAGCTCATCGGTGGACATATCAAGGAGAGCATCCAAATCAACGCCTCTGAAGCTAAATTTCTTGAATGTTCTCTTCTTAGGCACTCCGGCCGCCGCCACCTCTGTCTCCACATTCGCCTACCAAAAATTTACCATTCACGACATTGTAAGAGAGAACAGAGAAAAACAAGAAGCGAATGAAAAGACGTAATTTACCATGGTTGGAAGCTTAAGGTTTTGAAACTGATGCAGTGGCCGCTAGGGTTTTCTTCGGAGGTTGAAGAAGTGTGGAGATTTTGTACAAGTTTCTTATACAGGCTTACCCTAGAATATATCTCTTCAAGGGCCCAGTAGTTCCAACTTCAACTGGGCTTGGGTAACATTTTGTAATGAGATTTATCTTCTCAGTTTAAATTTAATTAAAAAGTTATAACAAAATATGTTATGATAAAATATACAAATGATCACTAGACTATGTTAAAATAATATTTTTTAGGTATTGATGTTTTGAAAGTTATAAAATAATCATTAAACTTATTATAAATGATTATTGTTCATTTTGAAATATTGATGACCTTTTATAAGTTAGAAGTTCATTTTGTAATAATTCGATAAGTTTAATGACCATTTTATAATATTTTTATAAATTTTAATGATCAATTTTTAACTGTTTGAGAAGTTTAATGTTCATCTTGTAATTTCTAAAACTCTAGTGATCCTCTTTGGAGGAAACATCTTCATCCTGTCTGATTTCTATTGAGGTTAACTCGAGTTCCTATTCTGAGGGTAACGTTCCCATCCTGATTTTGTTTTCTGTTTTGAGTCCATCTTTGGAGGGCTCAGGTTTCTCTTCGGAAGGTAACGTCCTCATCTTGTTAGTCTGAAACAAAAGGTAAGAGTGTGTACATCTATTTTTGATATTATAAGGGTAAAATATATGGTTTTACTATTGTTTGGTTAGTATTGTGTCTTTATTACATCAAGCTTGAATTATTTGCATTTTTAATATTGTTGTCGGATTGCACTTAAAGGACACACTGAGCTTTCTAGCTCATTCTGTTTATGTCTTACATTTTCATATTATCTAGATGTAGGACTGATTTAGCTATCAGAGGTGTAGTCTCGTTTTTATATTATATGAGATTAAATATTTATTTTCAACCTCCTTAAATCGTGGCGTGACTTTATTTTTTATATTATATTTGACAAATGTTTTTAAAATGATTTATTAAAAAAAATTCGTTTGTAGATCATTTATGTGATCAACGTGACAACCTTGATTTATTTGTAATTCTTAGACCGGGTCTAGGGGTTACGGGTAAAGTCCAATAATTGAATTACAGGTTAGTACATCATTATCGGATGATAAATTCCAATAATCGACTTACAGATTGATGCATCCTTAACGGATGATAAATATCAATAACCGAATTATAGGTTGGTGCATCCTTATGAGATGATAATGTCCAATCATCGAGTAATCATATGAAGATATAGATGAGACAGCAGATTGCATTGCATGCATGTTATATTTGATTTTGTACCATGTCTAATTTACCGTATATTGTGAGTTGATTGTATGTTATACTTTGTGTTGTTAGCCGCACTTAAAGGACACAGTGAGTTCCAAAACGCTTCCTTTTAGATTCCTACCTTTCAAATTCGCTTAATTGTTAGGGTACTTAAAAGAATCAACTAGCGACATATTTTATTATTTATAATATGATTTTCACTGAACTTTATTCTTTATTGATACTTTTTCATCAGATTTTGAAGTATTATAAATTTGAACATTTGGAGATATTATTTATATGGGATATTGAATATTGTTTTGACATACATTATGAATTTATGAGACTTTACAATTTGTTTATTTATGAGGTTATCAATCAATATCTTCTATTTTATTCAATAATTTACTTTGATAATTGTGATATTTCTTTAAAATGGATATGTTTTATGAATTCTTGTTAGAGTGATTTTTGAGATTCGTTTATAACGTTTAGGTCAGGCCTAGAAGATTACATGGTAACACTAAAATCATTTATCAACTCTAAATTGAAATTTTAATCCTACATCAAGATGTTAACACTAAAATCATTTATTAACCCAAACCCTAAATATAAACCCTATTCTCAAATATTGACCCTAATCTCAAATATTAACCCCTAAATTATTTATTCAACCCTAATCCCCTAAAACAAACAAACCACGTAATAATAATAATAAAAAAGATTACTTATCATATTTCCGACTAGGTTTTCCTTTTTCGTGATGAAGTCCACTCATCTCAATCCTTCTCCAAGAATTTATCAGCCTTTGAATGGACTATTAATTTTTTTTTTGAATTGTCGATTAATAGTCAGATTAATTTCTCAGCCATTTTACCTTTTTCGCTATAAAATCATTTTAAATGTACACTTCGACCCGTCGCTACTCAATGACAACCACATCAGCTTCGTTGTTTAGTATTTAACGGTAAGTGACTACATTGAAACTATTTAAATAGTTATATGACCGTATTAACAAAATTGAAAGTACGATGATCATATTGACACCAATCCTATAGTTAAGTGGTCATTTGAGTAGTTTATTATTATTATTATTATTATTTTAATACCAATGCAATCTATTGTGTTATTCTATGGAATGGACAACCAGAGAACAAAATAAGTTTTATTTATTTATTGAATAAAACAGTTTCTTAATTTGAAAAACAAAAGAGAAAAATAAGATAGTTTAATCGTACCAAGAATTTATTATGTTAATTTATGATCGAGAAAACATTAGTTACATATATATACTTGAGATTGTATTAATTGAATTAAGTTAATAGGATAAGAAATTGATGAATTTTTTTAACAAAACGTTTTGTCCGTTTGAAATACATGCTCACAGTAGGGTTGAATGTATCAAAGAAAACAATCTACCTCTATCTTTGTACGGTTCCGCATTTGCAACGGACCGTTTAGTTGTACCGGGATCTATTTTACTACAACAACGGCTTAGTACTTGTTTAAATCCTGCAAATATCATGTAATATGTTCTTAGAATAGTACATGGATTTTTTCAATAAAAAAACAATTGAAATTTGACAATGAAATCAATAATTCTAACCAAAATCAGGCCGAGACTCATTCCTCTTGCTTGCTCAACAGTCTTGCACACTGATTGTGTTATTTGCACTAAACCCAGAAATGATCACAGAAATGGGAGGGAGGGGGAACTTATATGTAGAACAGAAAATACAGCACCTCATAAGTATGGTACAAATCAATTGCTGAAACAGGGGAAAAAACATATGGTGCCTAAAAGCCTTTCATTCTTCTTTCTTCAACTGTCATTGCCAGTTGTTCCTCAGATGGGATCTTGCCACCACTTCTTGCAGTTGAATGCAACCATGACATAAGCTCATCCTGCAAGACGAATATATATAGTTTTGGTTCGACTGTTTCTTCAAGAAAATTTCGAAAAACCAAATAAGAGTTATGTAATCTCCCTACCAAGTTGCGATTTTTGATCTTTTACACGATCAAAGAAAGGTACTTTAATGGATCCTAATAACTACTTCCAAGTTTCTGCTATGAGCTATGGTAAACAATGAAAATGTTCAGAAATACCTTAGGTTCTCGTGTAGATAATGTTTATCTTTAACTAAAACTCACAAAGTAGAAGCGGTTATGAATGCTTATGATTACTATTACGATGATAATAGACATTGAACTATCAAAGTTGAATTATAGAAAAAGAAAATTTCAGAGGCAAGAGTGAGTAGATCATTGGATCATCAAGTTGAAAGCTAGAAACATAATTCATGGTACATGCAAACAAAAGACATAGGTACATACGAAGAATCGCGAAACGAGCAATTGAATAGGAAATGAAGTTGGATTTTTACCTCAAGAAAACTGTGGTTGGAGATGTATTGGCTTTCGACAAAGCATTTCATCCCCCTATATTAACGGAAACAGAATTATTGGTCTTTTGCCCTGTCCCTTGTGCGTGTGACCCTGTGTATTTAGAAGGAAATTAATATGCAAAAAATAAACAAAGAGAAAACAGGGAAAATGTCTTTGCATGATTTATGCATAAATAAGTGCGTCCAAATGAGACAGAAACTTAAATAACAATCTGAAAATAATCTTAGTATTAAAAGAATAAACAACCAAACAAGCATGAAATACCACAATCTGCTCAATGTCATGCCAGTTAAACAGGCAACATAATATCCAGTTCCTCCTAATCCTTCCTCTCATTTCCCAAGCCGCAAACGCAGGAAAAACCCTTCAAGATGCGAGAGTGGTATTTGTGAATTCATCCACCTGAAGTTCATGTTGCATTAAAAATCCAAAACGAAGGATTGAATTTTCGGTGATATAAAAGATAATAGCAGCAATCAACCCCGCTCCAGTAAATCATATTCATTTCCCACTCTTTTAGGTACTTCATAGTGAAACCTTTACGGCCCAATGTGCGTAAGGGAATGCTTTTAATTGCATCCTTTTGGTTGAATCTACGACAGCTACATTTGAGCAAAATTTCTGACATAGAACTAGCTAAGAAAATGAAATTACCAATGAAAATGATGGTCTAGTTACTTCAGGATGTCTGTTCGTGACAAACGAAGCAACCTAACAGCATCGAAGATTGTCTTTGTCCTATCTGAAACCTGCTGATTGATCGTATTACCCCAAGATGTCATCTGGTTTTCTTTTTACTCATTTTCCTTCAAACTAGAATATACATGTTTCTTATTCTCATTTGTGTTTGATCTCATTTTGTCCGCATTAACCCCATAACTAGTATCGGGGCCTTACCCATTATCGATCCCACCCTGAATTGTTGTTGGATCAATAGCTTCTTGACTGTATTCTACAAGGTTCTTATTCTCTTCAAATCCTGCATAACAATGCAGTCCACTGAGATTAGCCAAAGAAGCTATACAGACTGATTGGTGTTGACATCTCGACGTGGTAGGACACACAACAGCCTAATGATCAAGCCCAAAGCATCTAATGCACACACGAGTTACTTCTTCCAATTTATTAGAAGACTTCATATTCCTCAGAAGATCTTCAATCTCATTATCTGTTATCTCCGGAAAAAATTGAAAATGATGGCCTTTTCTTCCACAAAAGAAACAGATGATAGTTGAAGTTGTATTGTCCGATACACCATAAGGCATGTTGTGTTTGAGGGCATCTAATCTTCTAGCAAAAAGAGAAGCCATCACTTCTGAATCTTTTATTTTAGAAGAGGGTAAAATAGGGATCACATTACGTTTGGATTTCTGGTCATTTTGAACTATAATTTCCTTGAACCTAATGGATGCCTTAATTTGAGTATCAGAAGGTAATTCTTTACCAGAACCGATTAGTGTCTCTTCGACACATTGCCGCTTAGCCTCCACAATCTTGAGGTTGCTAGAAACATTCACATTGGATCAGGGAGTAATCTTCACGCAGTCACTTGAGCACTCAACGACACCACTGTTATCATAGTTCAGCAAGGAGCTAGAAGGCTTCGGAGTAAACCGAGTTATCCACAAGCTCCCTAGAAGGTTGCTTTTGGAACTAATGTTATGAACCGTCTTTCCCTCAGATGGTGAGTCAGAATTGATGTTTTCAGAATTCATCGCCCTTCGTTTACCCAATAAAGAACTAGAGCTTGCTCTATCTTTCTCCACGTTCACTGCCAAGTTGCACGGATTCTCATTCTCTGAAGAATTTCCCTCAGTGCTCTTACCGGTAGAAAAATTCACCGATGAAATCTTCAGCTGGGCTGGTGAACCTGCTCTACCACTAGAAATTGGTTCTTCTAATCTTTCATTTGATAGCAGAGATACTTTATGTAAGTTAAAAATTTCTGCATGGCAGGCGATTGGAGTAGCATCACTGTCACAAATCTTGTCAGTTTGCTCAACTCCAGTTCGATTGTTTTCATTTTGTATTGTTTCTTGGACCATAGTTTTTGGTGAATACATCGAGTGGAAAAAAGATTGAAACCCAATATATCTGCACCCAGGATCTTGGCTCTTATCAGTTGCATCAAGATTCCTGACAGGAATCTCATGTGACTGGTTAGGATTTGCAACAGTAAGCGTCAAAGATGGTGCCTCATCTTTCGATTTCATAAATCCTTTCATCATATTTGATATCCAGTTCATGCTGTCTTCTTTTACAAGTAACGAGGAACAAGGGCTTTCACCCATTTGCTTTTTCAGTCGTTTGCTCCCCACAATCAACTGTTGCTCAAAGCCCCCTCGTTTTTTGCCTGCACAGAATAATCCAGCACAATTACAACTTTCAGCACTTTCATGGCTGTCATCCTCTTCTTGGGACATCATTCCTTTAACATCTCCATCAGATGAAGCTTTTTCCTTCCCTTTTCTTCTATATCTAAGTATTCTGCTGTTAGTCGGAGAATGTTCATCACCAGATATCTCCTCCGGTTTTATCTCCTTATTGTGTTGAAAGTTCTTTTCAACTTCAGATGCAGATTCTGAACCTGAAACCTTGCTTGTAACACACGCATTATCACCTATCAGAACCCACAAATCGTTTTCAGCAGTTGCCTCCACTTTTTCAATAGGCCAAAGAGTAGAAGAAATGTACCCCTTCATCTTACTTTTCCTCTTTTTATCCTTAAATGAAGCTGATTCATCTTGTTTTCTACCAGGGAGTGTTGGATTTTTCTCCCGTGGTATGCATGCTTCATGTTCATTATCAGTAAGAACTTTAGATGCCAAGACGATCTCCGTTTTTGAAAACTGTGCAACATCCAGTTTCCTTTCATCTGTTTTTTGTTGAGAAGAGAATAAAATATATCAGTTACATGTCAATTCCGGAGAGTAAAAAGGAAAAATATAAACTCTATCCAAATAAAGGAAGTCTAAGCAAATAATTGGCTTAGCAATGACAAAAAACAAGAGAGAAACCATGTCAAGAATTCTTATAATCATGCTCCATAATTAATATATGTCCATTCAAGATGCTGAAACAGTTTAACACGCCAAAAAAAAAACTGTAACGTTTTCTTGGACATGTTACTTTCTCAAGGTGCTAAACAAGTGAATAAGACGACATCATTATGCAATTGGTGGACTTGAAAAATTGTTTTTGATCGAGTCAACTATTTTAGCCACTGGGTTATTGTCTCGACGAGAGGAATATGCTCCTTTAGAATCCACTAGATTTTCAATAAGATTTTCATCAGATTCTCCTATCTTTGGGCTTATATCCTCTACAAAGTTCTCAATTCCTGCAAAAAGGAGAGTTTCTCGGCAATTTTAGAGAAAAAGAATTAAATCTTACGACAACACGAACAAATAAAATAAATGAATGAATTATACGAACTTGACATGCCTTTGGAAGAATTATCACTATCATTCTGCTGTTCATGACATAATTTGATAGTATCATCATTCCCAACAGATTTGTCTAAATTTTCTATATTGGCAACCTTGGGATTCATATCATGAAATGCCGATACGGATTTATTGGAAATTTCTTCATCGATAGGCTTGTCATCACTTGACCTTGCAGATGCATTAGTTTCTTGTAGTGAGAAAAACATATGGCTTCCTGCACCCCAAACGAGGGAATGTTTTTATCAGCAAAGCAGCACTCAGTACATTTGGGACAGAGACCTTTCCTTGGAGACCAAACTAATTCTGACAGCAGGTCAGTGGCTACAATTGGGACAGAGACCTTTCCTTGAAAATATTTTTTATTTTAATAATTAAAAAAATATTTTTAAACATCATTTTTTATTTCAAACACTTGAAAACATGGTAATCTAGTGAGCCCTATTTTGATGATTAGGAGAGGAATTAAGTGTGGACCTCCACTTATCTTATTGTCGTCACGTCCTGACCTATAACCCTTAAAATATCAGGACCGGGCCTGGCTTGGCCACAACTGGAATACCCCAGAGCAAGTCTTAAATCAGTCACTGATTCTATGTTGTCACTCTCAAAGATCATTTTTTGCTCGATGATTCCTTCAGTTCGGAATCCTGAAATCTCAGGAGAGTTAATGTCAGGTCATAGAATTGTGTTGCAAAAGAACGAAAAATTAACCATTCTCTAAAATGCGATTTTTGAAAACAGTTTTGATACTACTTAAAACTTTAATTGGATCTCAAGACTGCAACATGATACTCTCTTTACATTGCATTCAGGAACCTCGGGAACCATATTTAAACAAAGAATGCAAAAGAGAAAATATCATAGAAAATTCATTTTTTGTACAAAAATCTTCCACCATTTTTGTAGAGAGAATAAGACAAGCATAAAGCTGCAAACAAACTTCTGAACTTGAACAATGTGCATGGCTCACATATTACGTTACCCAGACTCGCGGTGAGTAAAGGATAAGGGTATCAGTCAGAAATGAGTATGCCGTAGGTCCCTTATCCATGTCAGAATAAGCGTTGGGCACCAATACTTTCGGAAAATCAAAGAGTTAGGGTAACATGCTTGACACTATGTATTGGACATAATCATTTGTCCAAATTCTTTTGGTGAATAATTGCCACAACTATAAACTCTAATCCAAAAAAGAAATTGACCATAATTTTAGAGTTCATGAGGCATAAAACCAATAATTATTCATATCTACAGAACCAGATGGACGAGGAATGTTATCTACAATCAATTACACCATCCCAAGAGAAGATATCATGCAAAAAAGACCAATTTATATCATGCTGGCAATCACTCGTTTCTCTAATCCACTCTACCAATATCAACTTATGTAACGAAATTATTCGATTTTTTGCAATAAATTCATGATACAAGAATGTGAAACACCAATAAGAAAATCTATACCAAATGCAACTATATCATGGGAATCCAATATTAAGCACTCGAATTTCATTCTAGTAATTGAATGGAAGGTATAACAAATCAAGCTAGATGAAGATACAGAAAGTCACTTATCCTAGAACCTGCACCATAGTGCAGGAAAACAGTTTACTCTTCTTGCTGAAACAACATTCAAATTCCTTCACAAAAAATAGTATTTTAATCGACATTAATCATATTCTTCTACAAATTTCCTCATATTTTCACTGCTCAATCAATGCATATCCAAGCTCTGTAGCAGTGTGTGTGATTTTTGTGTTTACATAAATACATAATTCTAAATAAATAAATCCTAAAGTTTGTGACTTGTTTGTTTAACTCAACAATTTATAAGGCATAAATGCTAATTGAATCATTAGTTTTAATAAATTGGATTGCTAGTTTTCCCCAATTGGGATTGTACATACGAATTCGAAAATCGAAAGGGATATATAGTGATATATCGTAACAAAAATCCTACCTCACACGCTATTTAGCAAAGAATAATAACAAACATGATAGAGATTAATCTCTTATCCGAACAATTGCATAAAAAGAAAGAACACGGTAGACTAAGTTTAAGAAGAAAAGAAAAGATTTGATCCCTTATCCTAAAATAATTTCATAAAAGAGGGAAAATTCACAATGCCTTGTCTATCATTCAGTTTAAATTAATGGATCACACATCGAACCAAGCAACATTTGTTCAACACAAACGTAAGCACAGATTGACAAGGAACCCCATCTTTTGCTACATAGAAATCAAATTCATGGAACCGGCGATGCAACCGAAGCAGTTTAGGCATAGGTTTGGTTGAAGCTAAGCTTAGATTTTTCACACAAATTGGCTTTCTCCTAGAAGTCAATCCTCTAATTTACTTGAACAGTTGCATCAGAAACCAGTCCTTCTAAACAAGCTCCTAATTCCCCACAAAAATACTAAGTTTAACAAATTTGAACATAATATAAGATGAAAATCAAACATTTAATAAAAATATCTTATAAGTTTCATTGAAAATACCTTCACAGATGAAAAGATTCAATGCAATGAGATAACACATTCACACATATCTACCACAAAAGGAAAAAAAAGGCTATCTACAACATAAATAAACAGCACCACAGAAGGCAGTAATATTGTTTAGTTTCAATTCATAAAGCATCATGCAAAGGCATCCCATGGGCAAAAAGATTAATAAAATAGGGAAAAAAGCATATAAAGTAGGGGGGGAAATACATATTTCAGAATAGGCAAGAAAAGAAGCAAAGTGATAAGTGCAAAAACCATGTGAAATTGAGGGGAAAATATAAAAATATACCCGAGGGAGAAAAAAAGCCTGATCTATGGAGACCCACATACCTCTTGCACTCTAAATCCATGGAAAATATAGCTAATTCCTTTTGCAACTTTTTTTATAATTATTATTAAAAGCCCAGAAAAGGAAATTAACTATTTTTTTGAGTTTTGTTCTGCTGTGAGAGAAAAGAGATGTTTTATCTTAGTTTGCAACTGCATGCCAATGACACTAATCACACAGATTATCTCTTTTCATTCCTAAACCAACGTCAACTGCCTTCCATATTCAAAGAGGTTAAACAAACTTGCCTTATTTTCACTTGCCATTAACTTTTGGAGGTTAAACACAACTCACTTTTGCCGCTACTCATAAAAAGAAAGAAAGAGGGGTATTCGGGATAAATTTACAGGGAATGTTACATACTGATATATTGTTAAGGCTTAATATAAAAATATTTATTTAAATTAAATATTTTTCTTAAATTATTGTCTAATTTTTTTTGTCAATCTAATTACATAACTTTATAACTATTGTCATTTTAGGTATCCGTCGTTAAAAATTATATTAATTTACAAATGTCACATTTTGGTAATTTAAAAAATTTATTTAAAATAAAAACTATAATTATAATTTTTAAAAAAACTCAATATTTTTCAAATTTTAAAAATATCACAACTTTAAAAGAACTCTAAATACAGTCCCTATACCCACGCCGACCATTGTCCTTTGTTGTCATCGTTATGGTCAACGAAACTTACTCTCGATCACACCTCAAGCCGATGACCAACCACCCGATTAACAACCACCAACGAATCCCAATCACGATTTAAATCTAAAAACCCTAAATCCAATGACATTCATTCTAGAATTTTACGTGATTTTTATAATCGAAAGTTGATTTAACCATTTTCTTTAATTATATGGAATGATTACATGATAGTATGTGTTCAAAATCTTTCTAAGTCATTGACAATGCATACACATCTTACAAATATAATTACTCGAACCCAATACCTCTAAGGGGAACAATACTCTCTTCTACTACCGAATTAACTTCAAGACTTCAATCCCTATTTTTGATTCAGCCATTGTTGAATTTAATTATTTTAAACGAAAATTGAGAATTTAGATCATCAACTATTTTTGGATTCAGCCCTTTTACAATTACATCGTGGATTTAGTTATCAACAGCTTAATAGTTTATAGAAAATGAATTAATAAAATTCAACGGTTTAATTATTTATATATAAAATATTAACAAAAATTATCAACTCAAGTATGTGTATAGAAAGGACTACTCTAACTTCTTATTTTAAGTCTGTTTTGGAAAATAAACAGAAAGGAAAATATGATAAAATTTTATTGAATTGTTCAAATAAGTGAATTGGAGTGTCTTGACTGAAATATTACAGCAAATCAGGGACGTTTATATATATGAACATAACTTACAGAAATTTACACTTAATAACAACCCAAAAAACAAGTCTTTGCAGCTTTAAGACAACAAAATAAACATTCTTTAGTGAAATCACGAGAAAACGAGGAATAAGCCATTCCCCTTAAATTAGAAAACTCACCAGAAACTCAAGTTAGGAAATTAATGTCTGAGTCAGTGTGGCCATTTGCCTTGGGTGGAATTGACTCACTCATCTCTTGTGCTTTCAAGGATTCATCTTTGAATTTCAATGGACCATTGCCATTCTGGACGTTGTTTTGATTCTTTTTGTTTGCTGAACCAAAAGTGGCGGCGATAATGTCTTCTCTTAGACTACCCAAACTGTGACGATTTTTGTGATAAGCACCTTTTACCTTCTCACCCTGACTTGAAGTGACTGGACCACTACAACTCTTCCTCCGACCTAGCTTCGGAGACTTTGCACGAGTTGGTGGCATCTGGCGTGCACACAAAACACATATCAAAATTTAAGCAAAAAATGCAGAGTATGTATTTCATTGACAATGAATTATACACTTATTGTTGCTGATATCTAATTAAATAGTGAATTAACTGTTTGGCCAGGTTAATTATGGATAAAGATCAATGAAAATCGGTACTATACCTTTTTCAGCTCAACTTTTGGTGGTGGTCCCTCATGGTAGAAGCTTGGCATTGGACTTGCCTTGAATGCCAAACTCTTCCTGAATTGCTTGATGGCTGCCTCCATCTCTTCCTTGAAAGTTTTCAAAAAAAATTTCAAGTTAGACGCAAGGGGGAAATAATAATTTAGGAACTTAATCATCTGCCTCGGACAGTAAACTAGAAAAAGTAGACATGAGAGATAGAGACAGAGAGAGATGTAGGTAGCATGGTGAGCTGTTGCACCTTAGTCCGGGCTTCACTTTGGGTTTTTTCGGCCTCCAGAGCTTGGTGTTTCTCCTCCAGTTTCGAATAGAACTACAAGAAAACAACAAAGTGAGACAAGGATTTGTGTTTCAGATTTTGCAGATGCTAATTTGAAGGCAGATGCAAATATCATGTCCAAGTCACAGCAATACCTCCTTCCTCTTCTCCGCACGCTCAGAACATCGAAATGTAGGAGCTGATGCAACAGTTGACTTCGGCTTAGCAGTCCGGGAAGACTCCAAAGTGCTTTGTATAGTCAAGGGATAACATCTGTGATTTCTGGACATAGATGAATCCATGCTTTGCCATGGGCTTGCAGTGCCATCAAATCTAATGCATTTTTTACAAATTTTTGACAATAAACGTTTCCATTTAACCATGTTTAGTGTTCATAATTTGACAACTTTTTTGCTAATTGAGCAATTTTTTTCTCAATTACAACAGCAGAACGTGTGGACATTTTGGAAGATAATATCAACATTCCCGATACCAAATTTTCAAACAGAAGATACCCTACATATAAGAACATATGAATTTGAACAGAAAGACAGCATGTCAAAGATAACAACAAACAAGTGTAGAAAAAGCATAAGTGAGCTTAAAATACAAGTAGAAAGAGGATATATGGAATTAACAGAATAAGATTCATCATCATCAGGATGCTTCTTGTTATTAGGTTGCAGAGGTTTCCTCAAGACCGATTGTGGCTGCTGGCAAACATATAGACACTTCATGAGCAACTATGAGGGAGAGAAAACAAAGGAAAGATATTTCTATGCTCGTAGTTGATCAATCAATGATTCACTGCTGAGTTTATTATTCCCTTTTGTAAACATCTCCATTTCTGAATTTATACTTTAAAAAAGTGCAGGCTATTAATTGCGGCACGATGCTATTCCTTCAGGTTTTCATTAAGAGCATGCACAGAAATGTTAAAATGAATTAAAGATCCAGAGGAAGAAAATTTTGCAGATATTACCAATCAATATAGTTTTCATCAATTTATACAGATTCTAACACATAACTTGACCAAGGCCTGTGCCTCAAGTATATATTACTTGCACTCCCATGGATCGGGGACTTTAAAGAAAGCGATATCTTTAATGAGGAAGGTTACCTGATTCTGTTTTCTTGGGTCTGGATGAAGTGCACCAGTTGTGTTAGAAGATTTGTTCAAACCAGTCCCAGTGCAAGCTTCAGCTGATGCCAGACGAGTTCCAGATGAAGCACGCTTTTCAGTTGCAAGGGCAAATGGATGCGGAACAGTGTGCTTTGTTCGGATATTTGCTACAGCATGTTTTGATTCATGCTTGGAAACTCTTGATTTTTTATACTTTGCTTTGCCAGTGTCAAGATTGGAGCTTAACATGCTTTGCTCTTCCTTAGTGTTCTCAATGTGACTTAGTTCAGATTTCAGCACTGAATTTTCAGTAGTGCATTCCTTCACCTCATATTCTTTTGCTTCAGAGCCTTCTTCTGTACCTTGGAGATCAGGATCCCCGTTCACATATGACTGCATGGCATCGTGATGACTATGAAATGCTTCATCATTTGAATCAAGTGAAAATCCATTTGACTGCACTATTATAGAATCTGATTGCTTGTCCATGCAGATATCAGTAACTTCTACTCCCATTGAACTGCACATTTCAATTGCAACATCCAAAATGCCATCAGAAACCTCATATTGATGCTTGTTTACAGAAAACCATAAACAAGTTTAATCACCATTAGATTGATGGAAATCATGCTATTTCAGAGCAATCAATCATCTTTAGATGCAATGGCATATAATAAAGTTTTATCTCAATCACCCCAATGAAGATAGAACAGAAGGAATAATATAGATTCTATAGACCCCAAATATAGAAGTTATAGAGTAATTTCTTCAATTGCAATTCAAATGGTACATAAAGAGAATATCAGATATGATATCAAGTGAAAAGTCAACGCTTTGCAGTTAGAGAAAGACTTCAAGAAAGTATCTCTCTTCCTCAGCACTAATAAAGCCCTGCACTTTGACAGGATTGCTCTTTAATAGGCTTATTAATTGATTCTTAGGTATGCTCCATACCTACATTATCCACGCTAATAGTTAGTGTTAGATAAGGGTATGTGTCTAATATTGCACAATCATTTATATGATATTTTTCTATATACTTGAAGGATTATACTCCCATAACAATGTTGGATATGCATTGGACACAGGTATAGAGAAAATGAAATATCCATGTAACATAGCTCCATACAAGACCAAGGCTTTTCCTCTCCCGTAAACTAAGCTCAATTATCATCAGGAATGAAACTAATCACTAAAAGGGAATCAAAGAACTGATACTGTGAAAGATGAATAGTTCTTTCGAGGCGAAAGAGGAGCAAATACCAAAGACATTCACACTAAACCAAAAAATAAACCTTGACAATTGACATGAAAATACTTTTTGCATAAAAAGAAATTGGCTTCACCGACCAGGAAAGACATCTTTGATTTCTTTATGGAAAAAAATCAACTGACATTGTTCATGCAGCGACCCTTCACAGGCTACACCGTACAGACTTTGTAAAAATTATAGGAAAAAGGAATCATTTGCATCTATTAAAAGGGATTGCTTTGTCCATAATTCTCATAAAAGTCCAATAAGTCAATTCAATCATAATCACAACAGAGCATAAAGCAACAATCATAAGTCAAAAGCCACACCAAAGCAAAGGAAAAAGAATGGAGAACTTTGTTTTGATAGAACAAAAGAATATTCCTATCATTTGAATTTAGAATCAAAGGAAATTGATAAAACCTGGACTGATTCCAAAATCAATTCTATTCACACCAAGATTGTAACATGTAATCATAGATGTCCCTAATGAAAACCGGTAATGCTATCTACTTAAAAACACAGATATGCACTTTCGAGGCTTAGGAATCTCATTCAACCCTCCAAAAAGGACAGAAAAAATGATAATTGTACCAGCAATGGTTACTAACTCTCCATTTGGTTCCTGGAAAATCAAAAGCAAAAGAGAACCTAAAATGCTATACATAAACAAACCTGAGTTTCTTAAAACAATCCAATACTTCAACTCAACTAAACTGGCATTAAATTTTCATTATTTTCACATCACAGCAATATCCCTCGAAACCACTCAAAAAAGGAAAAGTGTCATCCGGATTTGTGTGAATATTGTAAAACAAAAAACAAAATCTATAACCCCAAACAAAACCAAAGCAAAAACACCCTTTTTCTGAATGCAGGAAAATAAATGAAATCTAAGTTCAGATCAAACAATGGAAAAAAAAACATTCAAACACAGATTTGGAATTTTTTTTAAAAAACGGAAATTTTTAACGTGTATTTAATCCAAGAAGAAGAAGGGATCACAAGTTTTGAAATGGGAGAGGGGGATGAGTGGTAAATTACTCACGCTTTTGGTCCGGTTTGATGAACAACAAAAATCTCTTTGATTCGCCTTATTGAGCTGTTCCCGCTGTGTCTGTGCTCCTTTTGGTCATGTGTTTGAGAATGTTTCTGTTTATTAATATATGTACCTGCTTCGTCGGTGTTAACGTTGTCACTTAACGCTGTTTATCTGATTCTTTTAGGGTAAACTACGAGTTTAGTAGCTAAACTATACATTTTGGTCTATTTCAGCACCTAAACCTTCAAGTTTTTCAAAATCATACCTTACATTTATTTTATTTCATTTTAGGTTCCGCGTTAAAAACTTAATGCGTTTAGTTCATAAACTATCAGTTTTGGTATTTTTTAATACATATACTTTTAATTTTTTTTCAAAACTTAATGTTAAGTTTTTTATGGGAGTACTAAAATGAAACAAAAACTAAACGTTATGCATGATTTTGAAAATATTAAAAGTTTAGTATTAAAACAAATCAAAACTGATAGTTTAAATACTAAATGTATAATTTACCCTATTTTTAATGGCGGAAATTATAATAATAATAAGAAAGGTGAGTTTGATGCTGGAATCATATAATCTTTTTTAAAAACATATTTCCCTAAATTTTGGCTTTCCTTTTGGCTTTCTCTTAATTTTGCTAATATTTTTTATTAATTACATTTGACATTATCTCATACTTCAATCCCTATATTTCAAAATAAATTGACTGGGTCAAAAATATTAATATCATATTTAAAGATGGACATGTAATTTGAATCTGACGGGATTCGATCTAATTCAACTTGATAGGATTGAGATTTTAAATATATATATATTTAAGTTCGATTCAAGTTTAAGTTTAGGGTGAAAATTAACTGACTATACTTGATATGATAAAAATAGTATAATTGACTTTTTATATATTTAGGGATAATTAATAATATCTCTCTTTTATATTTTTTAATTAGATCTCTATTTTATTTAATAAAAACTAAAATTATATATGTATTGGGTAGGGAGATGATTTTTATCCTACAAAAATCGAATCGGATTTTGAGTGGATAAAACTTTCTTAAACTCAAATCGAACCAGATGATGAGTAAAATCATAGTATACTCGAATCAAATTCAGATGGATGAAAAGTATATTTAAAAGAAAACTTTACAGATCAAATATTTTAATTATATATAATTTAAGTAGTACATGATATTTTATATTTTAACATTAAACATATTTGAAAGGAATAATATAACATTTTGTACCTATATTTTAATATATATCTAATTTATTAAATGTACTTTTAAAATGTAATTTGGAATTTTTTTGACAGTATACTATAATACATATAATTTAATAAAATATCTAATATGGTAATTATATATGTTTTGAAATATTTAATACAATATGTACATTATCATATCGTATATTATTATAGTATTTGGGTTAACATTATTTGTAAGTGCCATAAACGAACAATCATTTAGTGTATTATTACGGTATATAGATTAATATTATTGGTAAGTATCAAATCAATCAATTAAAATTTTCAAATATTTTAATAATATACATAATGATAATTGATATATTTTATAAAATACATATATCATATTAGCCACTTTCAAAATATATATACCATATTGAATATTTTATCAAAGTGTATTTACCAATGTGGCATTATTCTTATTTAAAATAAATGGATCGGATTTTAGACGTATATGTAGTTATCATATTGGCAACTTAGATCAACTAGATTAGGTTGTACGGGTGGCGACATAGGCGATGTATACATACGACAAACTTACTATGAAGTTCTACATTCTTTGTATTACCAACATTATACGTATGTAAATCTACATTAAGAAAAGGGAGAAAATATCTTTAATTTATGTAATTCGAAGACTTGGCAGTTGACAAGAAGTGTAAAGATGAATCTAAGGTTGATAGAATTTTTAAAAAAAATATATATATATTAATATAACTTAATTTAAATTAGATGGAGACTATTGGGCAATTAGTTTTAGATTCAGTTTAATTAAATGTATAGGAATGAAGCTTGGAATACCATTGATTATCATTGATATAACAACTTGAAGAATTGTTCTTTATATTTATCTGCACTTTAACATCAAATTGGCATTTGTTCCATTAAAAGACCCAATCATAAAAAGATAATTTAGCATGACGAGTGTCCTTAATCCAACTTTATGTTATATATTATTATCCCCTCTTACTAAATTTGTCATAAAAATATTTTAAAAAATTAAATTTATAAAATATATATTTCAAAACGACTTGATTAAAGGTTTTAAAAAAATATTTTTTCATATTTTTATCAATGATAAATTTTAAATAATAATAAGACAAAATTAAAAAAAAATTGATTAAAACAAATCAATAATAAACCGTTTAAGTGGGACAGAGGAAGTATTATTATTTCCACAATACCATGAGGTCTTTTAAAATATTGTCTAACTTTAAAAATTTTAGAGTGAACTATATGTTTTATCACTTTTGATTCATTTTGATCACCTAACTATTATCTTCTAAAATCATATATAGCGTTACGTTTTGGTTTTATTTTGGTCATACATCGTTAACAAATCAACAGAGTTGCTGACATGATATTTTTTTTAAAAAAACAATGATGATGTAACATTATCTTATGGTGACACATCAATATCATCATTAATTTTTTAACGGTGAGTAACCAAAATGAAACCAAAACATAACATTAGGTATGATGTTGAAACAAAAAATAGTTGGATGATCAAAATAGAACAAAAGTAATAATAGGGGTACTAAACGTTTAGTTTACCCAAAATTTTATTCTCATCTTTTAAAAATAAAACCTAAACAAAAACTTTGGGTTTAAACTAATATCAAGAAGGGAAATCATGAACATTTAGTGTGATAATTGAGCAAGTGAAATGGAGGTTTGATAGTTGTAGTTAACCATGCACCAAAAAGGGAAATCATGTAGAATTTGGTGCGAGTATTATTAAGCTTCCGTCAACTAAAGATTGATGACAAAATGATACAAATTTGAGACAATATATTTCCTAGAGAGTGACCTCTCACTAACACACCATCCCAAGGGGTTATAATATTGGGGGATTAGTTGGTGAGTTTAGTTGCTACATAAACACAATGGAGTTGTCATATCTGTCCAAAAGATGTTCGTATCTTAACCAAAAAGTTAAGAAAGAGAAGAAGGTTTATAATAATTGATGAGCCCACCCATCCCATCTTTGATTATTCCTTTTGAACCCCTTTTGATAAAGCCCTAACACCTTCTCTATTAAACTTGATTTGATACCTACCCCTTTATTTGCTTTGAATTTTCCAATTTCACCCCCATACGCCATACCCTGCTAGTTTGAATTTCCCAATTTTGTATGAACGGACACAAAAGAAATTTTAGGGTGGATACAATAAGTAAAATAAATAATTATCTGAATAAAATTCGAATTTCATTATGCGCATTAATCCACCATGGGATCTTACTGGATTCACCACTGCTCTTGACTCTTGTTAATCTTAATCGAGGGCGGATCCAGGCTATGGATAGGATGGATAAATATTTATCCTGAGATCTAATTTTTTATGATAATTATATGTTATATTAATTGTACTCATTCTAAGATTATATATATATATCCATACTAAAAAATATGTTTGAATATGTAACTTAATAATGGTTTTTAAAATTTGGGAGTTTCACATTAAAGTTTTGGTGAACAAACTTTGGGTGTGGAGCATAGTTCCGCACAGATGCATTTGGTAGACTAAATGGTTGTTTTGTTTGTTGCACACAGCCAGTGGCTGATGTACTCCATGTTCAAGACTAGCATGTGCTGATCTTAAAATTTAATATTTTTTTAAATATTTATTTATTTTAAAATTTTATTTATACTAATTCTATACAAAATTTTTAAGTTATTAATATATATATATATATATGCACACCCTAAAAATATCCACACTACATGCAACATTTGTTTTCCTGAGATTCTAGGTATGTTGTGGTCGGTTAACACTAGTGCGGAGGATTAGGAATCTTTTTAGGAAAGAGGATTGGGATTTGCAATTTTCTTTTATGATTAACTATATAACAGCCATGCTCCATTAGCTTAGCCTTTCTAGGCGTTCTTTCGATTAAAAAAATTTATTTGCATCACATGTCCTCAAAATATGATCCTCATTTTAAATTGGACTCTAAACTTTTAAGTGTTTCAATTTCATACCTAAACTATGATTACAGTTCTAAATTAGTCCTCAATTTTTTTAACATTTTGACTTCATCCTCAAACTATGACCTTCATCATAAATTAGTCCTCAAACTTTCTAAACATTCCAATTTCATCCCAAATTATACACATATAATAATTACATCTCTTGTTAATAAAATCGTTGGGCCTTCGACCTCAATTTTGGTTTTCAAAGACCTGAACAATTTTTGGTGGTCCAATCACGCCTAAACTGATTGGTGGCGACTCCCATCAATTGTTAGAAGTCTTAGTATATTTTTATTTTGTTATAAGAAATGGTGTCGACATTTATATATTTTGTTATGATTATATTGTCAATAATTTAAAAGAAATAAAATTTTAGTGAAAATTAGATAAGAAATGTTTTTAAAAAGTTTCATGTGGCGTTCATGACTCGTATTCAATAACAAATACGGGAATAAGGTGTTACACCCCAACCACCGTCTCCACAACAATCCCTCTTTCTCTCTTTTGAGCACCGGGAAAACCCCCCATAGGGGCAAAAAAACACCTCCAAAATTGGAGGGTCACGCATGTTTCTGTTTATTTTGTATTGTCCTACTGCATCGTTTTCAAACAAGGGTTCCATTAAAAGAACGAAAGCAAAATTTTATCTAAATGTCAACTTTAACTATTCTCAACTAAGTTGGGAAAAGTTTTTTTGCCATAGAAAAGATAAACTAAAATACACATTTTTGTTACTTTTAACATAGGCAAGGCTCATAAACAAAATAAATTAAATGGTTTACAACAATTGTATATTTCAACAACACAA